CCTTTTTTTTTCATTTTTTGGTAAAAAAATTGAAAAAACTAACTTGTAATGTCCATTTAAAGAAGAGGCTAAAAACCACGAACACAGACAATGAAACTGAATATCGACAATGAGAAGACAAACATAAGTCTTACTCGGAAAACTAATAGGAAAATATATTGCATACACAAATCTACATACATAATACATCTAAAGTAGTATTTATAAGGTTTTTGCAAAGCTTTATTTGAAAATGCATAAATTTTCATTTATCTACCCTTTACAAAACAAGAAAATCAAATTAAGAGTAGAAAGAAAAAAAACTTAACTATATAAATAACGAGTAGAAAGGAAAAAAAACGAACTAATAGCCTAGAAAATTAAATGTTAGAAAAACTCAACTACAAACTACTTTGAAATGGCTATTTTTTCAGCTTTGAAAAATTTAAAGAACATTACTGAAATGCAAACAAGGGGAATTTATTATGTGCTAACTTTATTTATTTTAACTTAAATATCTTGTAATGTCCTTTTAAACAAGAAGCTAGATATCCAATGCATAGACAACGAAACTGGATATTCAAAATGAGAAGTCGAACTTTTATCAAGAAACTAATTCGAAAAATAAATACCGCATACGCAAACCGAAACTTCTACTAACACTAAAGCTGAAAAGCTCCTTTAAAACTGTTATTTATCCTTACTTTAGGCGCTAGAACCAGATATTCTATCATAAAACTAAAAAATCCATTGCATAAAAGGTGTTATTATGCGACAATCAAAGAAACCACAGGCGAGAACAAGCTTGGCGACGATTTTATCGAAATTGCTTTAAAAATAAAAAAGTTAAAAACTGAGTATCCGATAACACTTTCCATAGAAAATTCGAATTTCCTTTCCGGAGAAAAGAATATCCCTTTTTTTTTTCACTGTTTTGTTTCCAAAAATTACCGCCAAAGTGCATTAAGGTACACTTCTCGAGTTTCAAAGCAAGTGGAGAGGCAATTCCACCGCCAAACAATGTCAGGCTTGGCACAATTTTTCTTCTTTTTTTTCTTCTCAGCATTTTAAAAGCTTGAAAGAGAGATTGCCCCATTTTTAGTTAAATTACGCTTTGGGGTATAAAATGCAGCCCCTTTATCGCTTAAAAGCACCAATGCCGCTACTTCCCTTTAATTCCACTCTCAAGAAATTTATTAAATCAGTAAAGCGAAGGAAGTTATAATTATTATAGACTCTTTTCATCCAGGTACTTCATTATGAAAATATTTGAAGTTAAAAAAAGAAAATTATGTAAACACTTCACAAAGAAGCTTCACCATAATGCAACATTGAAGGATAAAAATGAAAAAAAAAATTTTTCATAGTATCAACAGGGAAAAAAATTATGTAAGTATTCTAAATAGTGAAGAAATTAATAACTTGGTTTCTTAATAAAAAAGTATTAATTTTAGCTTTTAGTGCTTTATTTAATTTAGTTGTAGGTAAACTGCGAAGAACTTATTTTTGAGTCTTTCGATTTAGCAGGGAGAGTAGTTTCTTAATATTATTACATAAATGTGGTTAATACGGGAGAAAAAAAAAAATTCTTGCTGAGCAGAATAGGAAGGGAAAGAAAAAAGCTTTTTCTAATAAGATTCTGCTAATGATGCAATTTAACAAAAAAATATTTTACTTTAACTTTATATATTTAACTTAATATTATAAAAAATGGTGCAAATGAAAAATATAGTAAATGATAATTGTGCATTAATGTAGAGAATAGAGAAAATGTCATTCGATATTAAATAATGAAGTCATAAAAGATACTTTTTAAGATAAAATCTTTATTCTCATTCAGATTTTAACGTCTTTTTTTATAACCACTAACTAACTTTAATTATTTTCAACTTCATTTTATTTTCATCTTTTTGTTTCAGACCCATGTATACATATAATAAGTTAAAAGTATGTAATAAGTTAATCATTGCCATTTATTTTATTATGTCATTTATTTTTATATTCGTACTTCCTAATGGTTGATGGTTTTTAAAATTAATTCGTCATAAATGAGCTTATCATAAACTTAACTTTCACCTCCGAATAACTGGAGAGATTTTGCAGTTCGTCAAAAACCAATAAAAGCCTTAAAAATATGGTGCATGATAGGTTCACTTCTTTTGCAAATTAATCCATTTTCATATATCAAAACTTTACTTTCAATTATTAAAATATCAACCTAATATATACGTTTAGCAATTATATATTGCTTCTACTCAACCATTTTTTACACCAATAAATTTTTTTTTGGCCCATTGGGGAAATAGGTATAGTTCATGCTTATGCTTGCCTGCACGCCTTTCGAATAGATCAATTTTATTGGTTAAACCAACTTCAACACCATAATCACAAATAAAGAGTTGTAAGAGTCTTAGGCTTACATAAGCAGTAATATAAAAACAGAACAACAAGACCAAAGTTTAAAGAGAAAAAAAAGCAGACGATAATTTTGGAACTTTTAGGTGTTAATTGTTTTCCTGAGACTGGGTATTTTATTTCTTCCAGCCTGCATTTTTAATGTTTTTACATGCATTTAAAGTATTTTAGTGTTCTTTTTAATTATTAACTTATTCCTAACTACCGTCTTCGTCTGAAGAAGCGTATATTATCTGGAACTGAAAACTAATGCAGCCCATTGGACGACAAGGACATACATCAATAGATGCAGTTTTTGTAACCCTTTACTTGATATGTTGTGACGTTTCAATTTTTTTTTTTTTTGAAATATATATTAAATAACTGATAATAGCTAGACCGAATAGCAGCTCTCTGCGCGTCTGTCAACATTCAGTGAGCATAGATCACAAAGGTACGTAATCATAGTTCGATTTAATAACTAAAAGTCATAATTAAAATGTTGGCTATGTCAGATAAAATTTGTACAAGCACAAATTTGTATTTTTTGCACTTATAATTTCTAAATTAACTGTCCAATCATTTTGAGATCGTTATCATTCAAGCATGAAAAAATGCCTGATAAACAGTGTTTGTAGAATCAAGAGCAACCATTTCTCTTCTATTCATTTGAAGAGATACCAGTTAAGCTCGAATTGGAAGGATTCATTGTGAACAATTAAAAGCAAGTAGCCATTTTCAGTGATTTTAGAACGGCTAATTGCAACTGTTACATTTTTTTAGAACTGCATTGCGATAAACATGTTTCTTTAAAATAACTGTTATAAATCCATGTCTATTAAATTTTTGTTGGAAAGAAAGACTCAGGAAATGGACAAACGTTTAGAATTTTACGCTGCCCATTAAGTGACACTAAAAAAAAGAATAAAAAAATTTCAAATGGAATCACGGTTAAGCGATAAAGTATTTTATAGCGATTCTTCACCTTTTATAGCATACCGGAAGGACCATTATAGTCTACAAGCCGTATAACTTTCATGGCAGTTTGAACTCTATACCTATTTTAGTTCATTAGACCGATGGCCACGAGGTTATAAAGTAGAATTTTAAAATCCATCTATTCCAACGGACCATTATGCTTGTTTGGAATAGTTTGTTTGGTGTTCACTTTTTACATAATAAATTAATCTGAATTGTATTTTAAAGCAACAGTTTATTTCATTTAGATCTAAAATCGGAATTCCTGATAATACGAATTATCAATTCCGTCATTTACTTCCGATTAGGAGGGTTGCATTAGAATTTCTAATTTTACCTTCTTATTTCCGTCACAATTACTTCGGATTAGCGAGGTTTAAAGCAGCAATTTCAAAACACTGAAGAGCAATGAATACGGACAAACCACAGAGATTTCCATGGTGTTAAGTGCCCTGTCACAAACTGTAATTCAAACAGAAATTTGTTTTACAGTAATTCGAATCAGCAGTTTAATCCAAATGTTCTAATGAAACTGAACTTCGGATGATTCGAATTCAATTCTGTCTCAATTACATCGAATGAATGGAGTTCTACACTAGATTATAAAGTAGCAGTCTATTTCAACAGATCTCGGAATTCTAAATTTTTAGAATATCAGAATTATTGATTTCGTAATAATTCAAATTAGCGCAGGGTTTTATTGTAGTTTAAAGCAGCAGTTTATTGCAACATGATCTAAAAATTTGATTTCCCGATACTTTGAATTATCTATATCGTCTCTCACAAGGCTTGATGTAGAAAAGCTTGGGCCCTAGGCACAGAACTGTCAGGAGTCCCCTGGTTGTCACTTTAAACCAAATTTGTATGTCGTTTATGAAGAGTTTATAAGTTTTTCATAATATAAGTATCTGAGATAATTGTGCTCCGGAAAAAATCCGGATTTCCAGATTTTTCGGTAACCTCGATCCGGAAATCCAAGGTCTAGAAGTTTCAAGAAATCATCGATCACATTTATGCATTAAAATTCTTGTATATTTTATTTAAAAATATTAGAACTAGAAATTTATACTTGGCATCTCTTTAATTTGGAAATATTTTTTTTTCCTGGTAGAATAATAAATGTGATTAGAGATAAAAGTATATTTATACATAATTATTCATTTAAATTATGCTGCATATAATTTATTTCATGCTTTGAAAATATCACTGATTTAAATTTATAAGCACATTGATTTTTTGAAATGCTTCATTAATGATTTTACTCATTTCAAGATTTTTGAGTTAAGCTACAATCACCCCTGAAGTATACAATATATAAGTAAATTTAAGATTATACTTAATCAAAATTTTTGCTAATTTTTATTTCTAATAGGCAATTCTTAAGGAAAAACACGAATATACTTGTAACATTTAGGAGGCCCTAGGCCTGTACCTCTCAGACCTTATAAATCAGGTCCTGTTCTCTCAATTACTTCGAATTACAAGTGTTCTATTATCTTTTAAAGCAGTATCAGTTTTAATAAATCTAAAAATCTGAATACCCGATAATCTGAATCATCAATTACGACTCAATTACTTCGGATTAGATGGAGGATTTAAAGCATCAAGTTAATGACATAAGATAAAAGTTAAAATGAACAAGGACTAACCGCAGAGCTTTCTCTGAGATTCCACGGAGTAAGTGTCTCTATCACATCCTTTGCCAATGTGACGAGTGGCCAAAGATACCTTGGCGGCCACTCTATCCAGTTTGCAGGGCACTTCGCACAACTCCAGTCTGGCTTCCGGGAAAAGGGGTCTTCTACCAGAACCCGGTGTATACTCTATTCGTTCTCGTACTCCTGATAAAGAAAAAAAATTGTTTATTAACGGTGGTAAACGGCAAAAAAAGATTCCATGAAATAAATAAATGTTAATAATTGCATCAAATATTGTCCTTAGATTTTCAGTGAAAATATCGGGTAACATTTTCTTATACGGAATAAGAATGAACAGAATTATCATCTTTCAATCTAAGCATAGCTGCCAACATGAATAGGAAAAAAATCCAGCAATACTTCGTACTGGATAGATACACTGCAATAATGTAGGAAAACCTTGTGTAGAGAACGAATTATCTCGTTTCTATGAAAAGAGTAAATGTCTTACCTTTCCAACCTATTCGACAGACTCTGTTCACTTTGATGTTGACAGTGGCCGGCTTTGATCGCTTCATCCCACAGTCATAGGCTACAACGGTCAAAATATGGTTGGGTGCTTCTTCCCAAGAAAGAGGCTCAGTGTTTTTGATGCGTCCTAAAAAATAAGAGAATATTTGATACAAATATTCTAAATATTTTAATTTATGCATGATAGCCCATCAACTTTTCAGATCTGATAAAAATTAATCATTTTTTATACATCAAGTGTTCAAGTGGACATACATTGAAAACAAACTGCTGTTCTTACACTTAACACGCAAATAATATTGTGTGTAAAGTGTTAAGTACTTGTTGTACTTAACACTTTAGAAAAAAGGTTTTTTAAACTTAAGGTTGTTTTTTTAAAAAAATTAACTGATTATTTTAGCGAAACCTCGCATTTTTTCCGAATATAGTCGCTATTTTATTTATTTATTTATTATTGGTTTATAAATCTACGTCAGCCAGAGGCGATAAGATGGATTTAAAGAAATGACATTTTATATTAAGCTAGTTGTAGGTCAATATTTTTGACCCCTCTGTCTCTTTGTCACAAAAAGTTACACTGCACCATGTTTTAATACATGTCACGCAACATTATTAAAACATATGTTAGCAGTTAAAAAAAATACATGTTATGGATTGTACTTTAAATTCAATTTTTAAATTTAATTTTTAAACTTAACTTCAATAGCGTTTTTTATAACAATTGTGAGGATAATAATAATTCAAAATTAGATGTCTACAACCAATACTAATAATTAATAATTAGGTGTCATTAACCAATAATAATTAATACTTAAATATCTATAACCAATACAAATAATTAACAATTAGATGTCTCTAGTCAATGATAATTAAATGTCCATAACCAATAATGATAGTTAATAATTAGCTGCCTACTTATTTTGAAGAAAAAAAAATGTAAAACAAATAATATAAAAAAAACTATTTAGTTGATTTAATATATGTATAATTTAACTAAAATGTGGGATATCAATTTTCTTATTGTACCCACATTTCTTATATTTAGAGAGCGCGGTCTCGTCATTTGACTAACGTGTGTTTTCTTATATGTGGCCATGTAAAATTATTACTCAAAAAACGTTCGCCCGCCAAAACAACACGTGTGAGATAAAAACTACTTAGATTATTTTATGCACGTTATAATACAATAAACCAGAAATAAAAAGTATAGCCAAACCAAGACTGCCAAATTAGCGATATCTCTAAAAATTACAAGTACATACAGCAAAGTCTCGTTTAAAAATCCTAAAAGTAATTCCAAAAGACAACCCCAAACCATAAAAGTCATTATAAAGGACAACCCCAAACCCTAAAAATCCTTAAAATTTATTCTAAAGGACAACCCCAAACCCTAAAAGTTATTCTAAAGGACAACCCCAAACCCTAAAAATCCTAGAAGTCATTCTAAAGGACAACCCCAAACATCCTAAAAGTTATTCTAAAGGACAACCCCAAACATGCAAAAGAAATAAATGATAGAATAGATATCTTTACTTTCATGTTTCGATAAAAACAAATTCAAGTGTTCGAAAATATCGCCTCTTACGAAGAATAACTAATATTTGCATTATAACCGCAAATTCACTCAAAGGATTTTAAGGCATTTATTTATGCTTATTTCTTCGTCGAAATCGTCAACCGTCAATAACCAGGAAAGTAGCAACTAAAGTAATTTAGCACTGTAAACAACAACAGCGCAAAACATATTTAATTAAATAATGTAGTCAGTGCTCAATTTTTGAATATATTTATTTAAAAATGTTTGCGATTTTTACTAAATTAAAACCAGCTGATCATCCCGACGTATAACAATTCCCCTAGGAATTAATGACACAAAATCCTTCATGTTGGCAGCCATTTCTATTCAGAATGCCAATAAGACATTAATTAAAAATGCGCCACTTGATTATAATACTACATCTGAAGGGTTAATGACTGTTAAATACAGGAGAAGGGATAAAACAGCTTGCAATGGCAGAAATAAAGAAGTGCAGTAGCCAACATACACTTCAATGGTACAACAACAAGGGAGGTTATGGCGCTTTCAAGTCCTCTCCCAGATGATTGATCACTGGTTTAGATTATAAAGCTTTCCATCAATGTCAGGCAGTGTTAAGATGGCATGCCCATCTCTTTCTCTACTAATTTCATTATCAAATAGTCTTTTTTAAAAAAGTTTTGTTTCATTTTTGAGTACTTTAAATGAACTTAACTTGCGAATAAGTTTTCTTTGTTTTTGTTTATTGTTTAATAGAATGTTGTAGCAAGAACATGAACTTTTACATTAACTTTTCAGTCTTAAAATGGTGTTACCGCCGCGCTGCCTTTGAAGAATATTGTTAAAATGGCTGCCAAAAAGTTTCAAAGAATCGACATGATATAAAACTTGAGAAAAATTCTAATCTCCTCTATTTTTGCCTCTAAATGCTAACTAATAATAAAATATAATTTTATCGTTATGTAGCATCCATAACCTGAGAATTTTGATACCAACATTTTGAATGCTCAAAATAAATCCAGAATCATTGTGAATACTTTATTAATTTTAAATTATTGTAACTGGACTGGTACAACATATATTTTTCAAGTCTTCCGCATTCTACCTATGGTACTTCATACTGCGCATGCGCATCTTTAAACTGAAAATTCCTAACTTATCTCTAAACGGAAAATTCCTTACTTATTGTGAAACTGAAAATTCCCTACTTATCCCTGAACTGAAAATTTCCTAGTTAGTCAGGTAAATACATTTAAGAAAAAAAAAAGAAAAGAAAAAAACATCACAGGAAGTAATTGAACCGAATTTGAAATATTGTAGCCGCCTTCAAGCAAGAATATAATTTGTATTCTTTTACAGTGTATTCGTTTACAGGAAGAAAAAAAAAGAACGATTATAACATTCTTCGTGCAAGGCACTGTCAATGAAACAAATATAGCTTGCATTGTATGATGCAGTTTTCATTGAGACAATATGATAACAAAATAATTAATACCAGGCTAGCGAAAGTACGGTTAAAAAAAATAATAGTAAATAAAAATAGCAATAAAAGTATTCCAAAAATCCCCTCATAACTCTATTGAATATATTTCCACTTTTTTTCCTAAGTTGTTTTCTTACTAGCCTTTTTTTTTTTCTTCGTCTAAGTACCCAAGTTAAAAAAGCAGGCGTTGGACGAAACAAACAAGTATGAAGTATAAGCTGTTTTAAATAGTACTATGAAAATTTACATATCCAGCAAAATAGGCTCTTCCTTAGTCATCTTCCTTCGCTTAGGCATGACCAACACATTAGCAATTGAGCTGAAAATTGAAAATTGCCAATATGGGCAAAGAAATGAAGTGTAAAATGGCTAATATCGGCTGATGACGGAATAATGGCATCATCGCATCATCTTACAGCAAGCAAAACAGACATAAGCAAAATGAAAAGAATTTTATTGCAATGCGGTACTGTTTGTCTAAGATAGGTATTCTGCCAGACATTCGTCTGGAGCTGTGGCGGTGACTATGGTAACGAGGTATGATTATTTTAAGTAGGGGTGCTGGGTATCTCTTTAGGACTGGTTTCGGCGAAAGAAAAGGAGAACCTCTTCATTGAAGCTACCCTCCCTAAAATGCCCTCTTCTTGTTTCCATAGCATCAGACTGCCGCAGACTTAGTGGCGGTCAGAGTACCTATCTTAGTCAAACAGTATATATATATATATATATACACACCACATTCTTTTTTTTATTTTTTATTAATTTGTACACAAGCCTTAAAAATATATACGTGCATTGTTTGTATAATGTAAATTAAGTCTATGCTTTGTAGAGTGCTGTAAGGAAATCAGACAATCAGAGCTAATTATAACAGAGGGCAAGGTACAACCAGAGCTAATCATAATCTTGCTTAGTTAAAAATAACTATATAACTGAGCGAGAACGGCACGTTTCATAATTAGTTAAATAAACAGTAAGTGTTTTGAAAAATTTAAACAAAAATAAATAAAAACATATTTAATGAATAACCATCCGAGTTTCGAAGATATTTATTTTCTATTTAATACATTCAAAGAAATAAATTAAATTTTTCAGGAAATATTCTCAAAACCTTTCTTTTACTTTAAAACTGGAAACTAAATAAAAGAAGTACATAATAACGTTTAAAAAATTCTCTTTTGAAAAATTCCATTTAGAGAAATAATAATCAGATTTCTTCCATTTTTTCCTTATTTTTATTTAAACTTAGGGAATCTTACTTTTTTACTTGGATACATTTTAAGAAATGATTTTGAACTCATTTTTTAAAATAATTTTCCCAGCTTAGAATCCAAAAGAGTTTCGAATCTTTCGATGAAAATTAATTATTTTTCTAACGTATAAATATATATATGAAGAAATAAAACGATTTTTCTTGAATAGTTATTTTCCTAACACGAAAAAGAAAGCTGCCAGCTTTTTCCTTCCACTTTCTTATCGCCCCCACTACATCCCTTGTATCTTTTCAGAGAAATACAAAGAAAGCAAAGACTAACTCAACCGCTAAGCCCCATGAGCCGCTAAGACTAGAGCCTCACACGCTCTTCGCCAAATCGTTGCCATTCTGGCGGAAACAAATTACGTCCGAATGTGCAGACGAAAATGGATAGCTTTGATTGCTTTATGGTAAACGAGTAGTTTTAGACGTATCGTTTGTCCACTAATGCTCGAAATCTCTAAGGAACTTCCCCAGGGACAGGCTTAACATGGAGATTTCGCGAAATATATTCCGTTAACGGTATCTGTAACCGTATCGAGAATTTGCTACTGGATTGTGTTCCCGACCCTTCCAAATTGAGTGAATCCGGTATGGGGAAATAGAGACTTCCCCAAACTCGGCGTATTAGAATTGACAGAGAAAGAAGCTTCTCGAAAAACATCTTTTGGCGGAAGCTTTTAGGGGTGGCATGCATTTTTAAACCGATTCAGATGTTCCTGTTTAGATACATTCTAGCGATTTTAGGTAACAGCAGAGAATGTGCAGGGTGTAAAGCTCCCTTTTTTTTTTAAAAGCTCATTTTCTTTTGAATTGAGATGGATGGACGTGAAAGAAGTAGAATTCAACTTC